TTCAGGCTGAACACAATTGCCTTTCAATTAGAATTTGAATACATGAAATAACTGCTGTGTGGGCAGGAAAGATGACAACAGAAAATAATTTCAATATAATAATATGTTCTGAACCCAGGTTTATCCTCAAATAAAATAAATAAATGAAACTGGCTACTAATAACACAGCATTGTTTTAGCACAGCATTCTGTTAAGATTTCTGAACCTCAGTTCTACCAAATTATAGAATCCTGTTTTCAGATCCTGCATTTAAATGCTAACCATAGCTTAAAGTATCATTCTCAGAATATTCTCAAAAATTTGCCTGAGACTGAGAGTTAAAAGACCTGGGTTTGAATCCTAGTTCTGCTGCATCTCAGCTGTTAGACCTTAACGAACCGTTTAAACTTCCTAATCCTCAATATACCTACCTGTAAATTAGATATATTAACACTATCTCTAATCATCTAATTTGTCAATTCATCATATTCTGTCAATCGTATACAACTGTTAGATATTACCATTAATGTTACATGCTAAAAAGGTGCTTCACTATCACCATCTTAGAGGGGCTAAGATTTTGCCTTTTTATGTAAATCATCAGAAAAGGGTTACTACAACCCTGGAATCAACAAACCACTTAGAAACTGAACCAGGAAAAAAAAAGAAAGAAACTGAACCAGATCATCTTCAATTACACTAAAATTTTATTAGGTCTATCTCTGGTCTTAAAGCTGCAGGAGTTGCTCTAGAGTACACAGTGTATCAGTTTTCAAGTTATTGCTGTTAATACGCAGAATAGTTGCACATTTCTAACATATAAGGTATAGTCTGTGAGTGTGCTCAGTCGCTAAGTCGTGTCCAACTTTTTGTTACCCCCATAGACAGCCATAAATAGTAAGACAACAAAAATGTAACAGTTAACAATTTTATATGTTTTTAAATGGGTTTGATAGATAATAAAACAAATTTATTCTGTACCTGACAAAGCACAATAGACATTAGGAAATGGGAATTGCTATCAATTATGAAAAAATTTTAAAGAAAGAGAAAGTTCCCAATGTAATCCAGCAAGATAAATAATCTTTAAATATTAATCTAGTCCCAAACATTCTGAAATGCTTCATGAAGAATCACCCAACATATTCATCTAGGAAAATCTTAGGTGAGGAAAAGTTATGCTACTTCTTAACACCTCAGTTTCACCAATCCAGTAAGATTCTACTTGTTACTGGAGAGACCCTGACAGCACCCGAACATGGGACTGTCTTTCCCATAAAGAAAAAATATCCATTTACTTAGTAATAAAGTCAACATTAGACCTGATAGACAGAGTGCCTAAAGAACTATGGACAGAAGTTCATAACATTGTACAGGAGGTTGGGATCAAGACCATCCCCAAGAAAAAGAAATGTAAAAAAGGCAAAATGGTTGTCACAAATAGCTGTGAAAAGAAGAGAAGCCAAAGGCAAAGGAGAAAAGGAAAGGTATACCCATTTAAATGCAGAGTTCCAAAGAATAGCAAGGAGAGATAAGAAAGCCTTCCTCAGTAATCAGTGCAAAGAAATAGAGGAAAACAATAGAATGGGAAAGACTAGAAACTCTTCAAGAAAATCAGAGATTGAAGGGAACATTTCATGCAAAGATGGGCACAATGAAAGACAGAAATGGTATGGACCAAGCTTGTTCCTTGGAAGAAAAGTTATGACCAACCTAGACAGCATATTAAAAAGCAGACATTGCCAACAAAGGTCCGTCTAGTCAAAGCTATGGTTTTTCCAGTGGTCATGCGTGGATGTGAGAGTTGGACTATAAAGAAAGCTGAGCACTGAAGAATTGATGCTTCTGAACTGTGATGTTGGAGAAAACTCTTAGTGTCCCTTGGACTGCAAGGAGATCCAACCAGTTCATCCTAAAGGAAATCAGTCCTGAATAGTCATTAGAAGGACTGATGCTAAAGCTAAAACTACAATATTTTGACCCCTTGACATGAAGAATTGACTCATTTGAAAAGACCCTGATGCTGGGAAAGATTGAGGGCAGGAAGAGAAGGGGACAACAGAGGATGAGATGGTTGGATGGCATCACTGACTCAATGGACATGATGGACAGGGAGACCTGGCCTGCTGCAGCCCAGGGGGTTGCAAAGAGTCAGACACGACTGAGTGATTGAACTCAACTGAACTGAAAATCAACATGTCTCTCCATCACTATTAGAGAGACATCAGAGGCATCACAGTATCTATGCCTTAACTTCTGAAATACAAAAAGTATCCCTTCTCAGTCACAGCTAAATAAACTACAGTCAAATCACGGTCTCTCTCTAACCCAATAACATCTGTTGTCCTTGAAATTTATGAAGGTGGTTCACTGTTCATATTGTCAAACTGATGTAATTTATATCCATCTGCACATTTATGTGAGGAGAGGGAGGAACATACAAAAGTTCTAAAAGACCTCGAGTACCAAAATGTTCCCCTTTCAATCATTACTAAAAAGGACAGTGAAACAGTTTAAAAGCTTTAATAGTACAAATGCCAGCTATCCACACTGTAAGACCAATTACTAGTATTTGCAGAGATGTGGAAGAGAAGAAAAAGGAATACAAGGGGGCTCTTTAAAAACCTACTTTTCTCCTCCACGTGGTAATGTTTACCTTACCCAGAATACTTCATTTCTGATACTCTCAGTCACCCAATGTGTGGGATTTTTTTCCCCAAAACAAGCAATTATCACAACATCTGCTGGGTGTCCTACAATTTAACTGATTGATTAAGGTTGAGGGCTCAGTGCCATGAGACCAACACCCCTCCCCCTGCAACCTGAGATGCCAAGTGCAAGTAGGTCCCCAGGTTACCTACAACTTCTGTATGACTTGGCTACAAATTGGAGGTTCCCATGACTTCAACCTCTTTGGATTCAATTAATTTGCTCAAGTGGCTCACTTAAAAAACATTTTACTTACAATCAGTTTATTAAAGAATATGATAAGGAATACAGATAAACAACAGATGAAGAGATATACAGAGGGAAGCCTGGGAAGGTCCCAAGCACAGGAGCTTCTCTCTCGGTGCAGCTGGGGTGCATCACTTTCCCAGTAGGTGGATGTTTGAACAACCTGGAAGTTCTCTGAATCCCATACTTTTGGGATTTTTATGGTGGCTTCATCACGTAGGCATGATCAATCATTAACTAAACTGTCAGAGAATAGCAGATAAAGGCTGAAAGTTCCAAGCCTCTAATTATGGCTTGGACCTTCTCCTCATCCAGGAACCATCCAGGAGTCCCCCAAGAGTCACCTCATCAGAACAAAACACTCCTCCCACCCAGGAAGTTACAAAGGTTTCAGGAACCCTGTGGCAGGAACCAGGATCAAAGACCAAATATTAGAACAAAAGATGTCTCTAGTATTTTTTGACTTAGGAAAATTACAAGGGTTTCAGAAGCTCTGTGCCAGGAACTAGAGGCAGAGACCACTTTGCTGTTCAGTCGCTCAGTCATGTCCAACTCTGCAACCTCATGGACTGCAGTACACCAGGCTTCCCTGTCCTTCACTCTCTCTTGGAGTTTGCTCACTCACATCCATTGAGTCGGTGATGCCATCCAACCATCTCATCCGCTGTCGTCCCCTTCTCATGTGCTCAATCTTTCCCAGCATCAGGGACTTTTCCAATGTATTGTCTATTACCTCACAGATTCTCATACTCTTCCCCCCTTTTTAATGCCTAAACTCAAGATTTACCCCCTCTGTGAATCTACAGAACTCACAGCCTTCTTTACACAGCTGGGTTTAACAATCAAAATTAAGCATTTAGCAATATATCTTCTATCCTCAGGGAGGCAGAAATGGACAGTCATTTGCCAGGATAAGAAAAATCATAATTTTCAACATCAGTTTTATTACTAATAAATATTTCTGATACAGGCTAATAAAAGACTGAACAGTTCTTCCTCTCAGATAGGAGCTGCAATATGTCAAACACAGAGCACCAATGACAACAATAATAACATTAACAAGCTACCTTATTTACTGAGAGCTTTATGGAAGACACTGTTCTAAGCACTTTATTTGTATTTTTCTCATTTTATTTTTACATAACCCTATGAGATTAGCATTATCCGCGTCCTCATTTTATAGATGAAGACTCTCGTTGCTCAAGAAATTAAGTAACTTGCTAGAAATCACACCGTTTAGCTGGGATTTTCAACCCAAGCAGTCTTCTCTTCATCATCATATTACACCAGATGTTCACTCAAAACAACTGCTTTGATGAATACTGCTTGTGTGTGTAAATATACATACAATATAGATGAACACACACACATATATACAAACACATATATACACACTCTCTGAACTTTATAGTCATATTTCAAAAATAGTTTAGTGACAATCTTTTCAGTCTCTGATTTTGCCACCACAGATCCACCACCAGAGAGAATGTGTTAGTCATATAAATTATGCTCAATCATAAATTGCTTTAAAATGATTGACAAAAATAAGGCAGTTAATTGCACTACTACAAAACAACATACAAATCCTGTAACTAGAAAGAAAGAATTCAGATTTTGACTTCAAGACCAAATTCAAACCATGACTGATCTCTATTAAACCAACCTTTGGTTTTGTTTATCTATGTTTTTACTTAGTTTTCACTAAAACAACAACCTTGAAATTTTCAGGAAAAAAAATACAATAAATATTTGATTAGTGACACACACTATCACTGAAGATACTAGGCTAAGATTTTAAGAATCAGAGGAATTTTTCAGCTTCCAGGCACATAAAGATCATCTATTTCATCTCTAATATTAAAGAGAAATTTAAATGGGAAGAACAGCAAAACAGGTATTTCAGAACCAATGTAAGTCAAAGGTTTCTGTACTGGGGAGATTATTTTTAATAATGTGTTACAGTTAAATCACCAAATAATTTAAAAGTAACTGCAACATAAATATAACCATAAATAAAACAAGAAAAGTATCATTATAAAAGTACAGTATTACAATATCAACTTACCAATTCAATTCCTTGTGGAAAAGGTGTATCATCCCAGTCCTTCTGTGGAAATCTCTGGATTATTTTCCCCAGACCTGCTCCTGACCCTATTAATAAAATCAAAATGCATTAAGTTACAGGTACTTAAAAATCTGAATACTCATTTTATTAATACTTATTTCTAAATGAATACTTGTTGAATAAATTCACATACTGATTAAACATTTTCACATTTTAAAGTGTATAAAACTATCTTCTAAACACAATACTGAAATGATAGGTAATTCCCATCCTACAGACTCTCAGAACAGTGACACAAAAATACTAGGAAAAACAGGCATGTGAAATCAAGTCTCCACATCATGGGAGTAACTACCCTTTATTTCCTAAAAGAAAAGCCATCTTCTGCTCAGAATCTCAAGTTGAAATTTAAAAGCTTTACCATACAGACAAAGTGACCTTAAATGATAAATGAAATGGCACTCTTAGTACTAAGCTTCAGTTATGGATTATAAGCATTGTGCAGGGTTAAAGAAAGCTTTTTCAGAGTGTCCTGGAAATTTGACAATTGTCTAAACAGGGTTTCTCCACACCAGCACTACTGACATTCTGGGCCAGATAATACCTTGTTGGGTTTGAAGGCAGTGGGAGGAGAGCTATCCTGTGCATTATAGTACATTACAGTATGTTTAGCAACATCCTTAGCTTTAACCCACTATAAGTTAATAACTCTGCATCTAATACCACTAAATTGTTAGAACCAATATTGTCTCCAAATCACTGCCAAATATGCTCGGGGCTGGGGGAGGGCAAAAATGCCCCTGGTTGAAAACCACTTATCTATATCATTCACTTCAGTTCAGTTGCTCAGTCGTGCCTGACTCTTTGCGACCTTGGGACAGCAGCACGCCAGGCTTCCCTGTCCATCACCAACTCCCGGAGCTTGCTCAAACTCATGTCCATCAAGTCAGTGATGCCATCCAACCATCTCATCCTCTGTCATTGCCTTCTTCTCCTGCTTTCAATCCTTTCAGCATCAGAGTCTTTTCCAATGAGTCAGCTCTTCACATCAGGTGGCCAAAGTAATTAAGTTTCAGCATCAGTCCTTCCAGTGAATATTCAGGGTTGATTTCCTTTAGGGTTGACTGGTTTGATCTCCTTGCAGACCAAGGGACGCTCAAGAGTCTTCTCTAGCATCACAGTTGAAAAGCATCAATTCTTTGGTGCTCAGCCTCTGTTATGGTCCAACTCTCACATCCATACATGACTATTGGAAAAACCATAGCTTTGACTATACAGGCTTTTATTGGCCAAGTGTTGTCTCTGCTTTTTAATATACTGTATAAGTTTGTCATAGCTTTTCTTCCAAGAAGCAAGCATCTTTTAATTTCATAGCTTCAGTCTCCATCTGCAATGATTTCGGAGCTCAAGAAAATAAAGTCTGTCACGGTTTGCATTTTTTTCCCCATCTATTTGCCATGAAGTGATGGGACTGGATGCCATGATCTTACCTTTTTGAATGTTGGGTTTTAAGCCAGCTTTTTGGGCAATCTTGATTCCAGCTTGAGCTTCATCCAGCCTGGCATTTTGCATCATGTACTCTGCATACAGGGCTTCCCGGGTAGCTCAGCTGGTAAAGAATCTGCCTGCAATGCAGGAGACCCCAGTTAGATTCCTGGGTCNGGGTCATGAAGATCTTTTTTGTACAGTTCTTCTGTGTATTCTTGCCATCTCTTCTTAATATCTTCTGCTTCTGTTAGGTCCATACCATTTCTGTCCTTTATTGTGCCCATCTTTGCATGAAATGTTCCCTTAGTATCACTAATTTTCTTAAAGAGACTTCTAATCTTTCCCATTCTATTGTTTTCTTCTATATCTTTGCACTGATCACTGAGGAACGCTTTCTAATCTCTCCTTGCTATTTTTTGGAACTCTGCATTCAAACGGTTCCTTTTCTCCTTTGCCTTTGGTTTCTCTTACTTTCTCAGTTATTTGTAAGGCCTCCTCAGCCATTTTGCCTTTTTGCATTTCTTTTTCTTGGGGATGGTTTTGATTACTGCTTCCTGTACAATGTCACAAACCTCTGTCCATAGTTCTTCAGGCACTCTGTCAGATCTAATCCCTTGATAGAGAGTCTGTTACTCTGTTACTCTGTTACTACTATTACAAAATTACCCTGTGACATTAAAGACCAGATTAACTCAAAATTGAACTTTGGGGATATAACCTGTGAGTAATTTGGGGCTAGAGAGTACATGCTAGGTCTAAATTGCTTTTTGCTGTACTTTTTAAAGAGCTTCCTGTGCTTGCATATTCTACATGTTGTTCCCACTCACTCTGAAGTAAAAGCAACAGGATTCTGATTATTTGTGCATCTAACTTAAGGAAACCTTAACACCCGATTCAATTTTTAAAAAGAAATCATCCACTATCATCTCTCATCCTCATCCCTGTGAAATGAACTTCCCTTGGGCCCTCACTTAGACTTCAATCACTTGATGACCAAATTATTACCTTTAAAAGATAAATGGAAAGTTAAATTCATCTTACTGACCAACTCAGAATTGTTCTAAAATTGAGGTCACATTTGAAAAAGGCAAAATAAAAATATTATCAGAAATGAACAACTGCTGTATAGTAACTCTTCATATACCAACCATTATAGGTAAATAAAAGATTTCATTAAGAATAAACTAAAAGTGATTTATTATAGATACTCAGCTTCCAAAATCCACCTCATGTATCACCAGTTCTTACATTCACAGCAAACTTAATTCAACAAATTACTAGATACTGGAGGTAGACAATGAAAAAGACATGGCCCCTATCTCAAGGAATTAAGAGAACAGAAAACAGAAAAATGAACTGGTAATTTCAGTATATCACAGTAAGTACAATGACAGAAGAGGACCTAACCTAAAGTAGCAGAGAAATCATGGAAATTTTTACAGAAATGACAGACAGCTGCTTGTTCTTTCAGAACCATCTTTATATGCCCAAGTACCTAGCATAATGAATGCCTGGCACTTAGTTCATACTAAGCTAAATGTTTATTTCAATAGATTTGTTAATACTGATGGAAACTATTTTAAACATTTTATATCTCTTCTCACTTTTTAAAAAGTGAAGTGAATATTATATATCTCATCATATTTAATCAGGTGTTCCTATATTGCATTCAATCCTGAAAGTCATAACTCATGTACTGCAGGCTCAGGAAATATTTTATAACATTAATTTTTACTAATCATAAAAATAATAAATGCCAGCTTCAGAAAAAATTTTAATATATAACAATATAAAAGAGAAATCATCCATTATCTCACACCCAAGGACAATTACTGCTAATGTTTGGATTTTACCCTAGACTTTTCTCATACGTGCATTTTTTTCATCAGAATTAAGATAATACTAAACTTAATTTTATATATTGATTTATTATTAATGTTTTCTAACATGCCTCTGACCATTATATATATTTCCTATTTTCTCTCTTATAAATAATGCTATGAAAAGCACCTTTCTATACAAATCTTTATCCTCATCTCACTTTTGCCCAGAAAAAAATCTTAGGTATACAACTAATGGATCAAAGAATACGAAAATTTTAAAGACTCACACAAAGTCAAAGGGCCCATCAGAAAGATATAATTTTTTACACCCTGTGTATAAGAATGAAACTGGTATTTTCACTTGTTTAGTTAATGCCAATTTGAGAAGTAAAAAGCTCCTTGTTAGCTTTTAACTTTCTAAAAGTCTCTAGGAGCCATATACTTAATTTATTGATTTTATAATGATATGCAGTCTTTCAATAACATGAAAGCTTAGTGTGAAATGCTGATGTAACATTTGTAAGCATACAGAGAAATACGATTCATGAGTGATATAACTTCCTTATACGATGCTATTTGTAAATGGAAATTAGGTTATAAAAAGGCAAAAATAAAAATGGTAACATGGTATTTCACAAATAAAATGTGGAAGGAGCTACAGTAACTTGGCTTTGAATATCAAATATGCAAATTGATGCAACTAACAACTTTTGAGAAACTTAGGCGAATACCCTACGGAAGTAAACGAACATTGTCTGATGCTTCTTTTTGGATTTTAAGAGTTTAAACTGAATTTTTAAATTTATTTTCCAAGTTTATATAATTTACCTAAAACCATTCTTACAGGAAGCACTGGTTGTATTTAAGAATGCTGACAAGATGACATTTTATGTTGAGGAGCAAGCCATACTGCAGGAAGACTGTTTAAGAGTCAAATGTCCACCTGTGGGCTGATTCTTGTGTCCAGAGGGAAAGTCAATCAGAACGTCTGTGGAAGCAGCTCTGATTTGCACTACTTATTAAATGGGCATGGGGAACTGGGTAGGGAGAGAGATACTTCTCAAAAGAAAGGGGATCACTTCTTAGAAAAGATAGGTGCTAGGCTGACAAATTGTGATTGTTCACTGCATTGCATGCAGCTAAATTGGAAAAAAAAAGGGGGGGTAGTTATTAGTCAAGGCCTTCCTGATTTTCTTTCCAGCCCCTACTCTACCACTGCACCATAAAATCAGGAAATACAATGACCAAATGTGGAGCTCATACATAAAAAGGGGGACTCTTAGCAGGATACCAACACATTTGGAAATAGCTTTCTTTGAAAAAAGAGCAAATGCTAGACGAACCACCCCACACAATTAAAGGAAGGGTGAGGAAATCCTGGCGTGATCAGGCACACTTTTCCCTCCTTTATGTGTGGTAATCCACCTTCCCCCGGGTCCTGGTAGGGTAATCCACTTACCCGGCCCACTACAAGGATTATCAAGTGACCTAGGATGATCCAACCACTCACCCTGCCAAAGTGACTGTTCAAGTCTTACCAGATGACTGCAGGAAAGTCAAACAGTATTCTCAGGGGGTGCTAAGTAGTATGCTGTAGGTGTGGAATAGCTAATAGCATGCAGAAGAAAGGAAGTCAGTAGGGGTTAATTAACTGAAGAAATGTAATACTTTGCTCTATAGAAACAGGATGCTTGATATTTGTTGATCATATCAACTGACAGAAATCAATCATTTTAGTATCATGTATACATTTAAAGTATACACATATAAAATAT